CAGATGATGAAGACTATTTTTTCTAATGGTTCGCAGTAATTTGTTATTGTGATATCGTCAACATACTTTAACAAAACAAAAAAAAAGATATCGTCAACATATATAAGATGTGATCATCAAATTCAATAACCTGAAAAAGCTTTTTCAAAAAAAAAAAAAATTAACTTGAAAAAGACACGTAAAATAGTTTGGTCGATCGAAAACCAAAAAAAGGTTGTTTGGTCATGACGGATTTTTAAGGGCAAAATCTGACAGGCCCCAATTATTTTTAGTGTTTGGGCCAATGTATTCGTGCTCTTGTGTGAGGAATTAAGATGAAAGAAGAATTAGTAAATTTAACGATAAAGAAAAAAATGTTTTAAGATTTGAGAGAATCGTATGAAAAGGACTAACAGAAAAAAATGAATCACATAGAGGAGAATCTAAATAAAACCATAATTATAGGACTAACCGGTTCATCAAAGTTTACACGTAGCATGCCAAAAATGGAGATACCAAAAAAAAAAAAATTAGAATCAAACAAAGTTGGTAACGTATAAAATCTAAAGACATTAACTATGATGCGAATTGATTTAGGAATTGTGTTTGACTTTATGATTGATGAAAACTATATTCGATGGAAGTGAAGTTGAGAACGTACGTGACTCGATTCGTGAGTGTGCTTGGTTAATTGTTGGTCGTGGACAAAAAAACTTTTATGTCCCAAGTCTCAAACTTATCATTCATATATTACATTGAATATAGATCTGGCTCTAGTCGACTTAGTGGAATAGTTACGCACTAGAATCACATCAAACACTAACGTACGTAGAAAATGTTTACATTTATAAGTTATAACTAACATGGATTACTGAAGTCCGCAAATGTTTAACCCGTGCCTAATATAGTCTAATTTCTATGTGCTAGACTATTCACTTAGCATCTAACGTTTTTTTGAAATATTGTCTAATACTACTAGAAAATTGTTTTAATGCTATCAAATGATGGAAACAAATAGTATATATACAATTATTATTTATTAAAAATACTTATCATCTTTACAAGTAATAGAGCATGAAGTATATTTTAAGAAATGAATTACAATATCATTTATAAATAATAATAACAGAAAGGGAAAAATCGTGTAAAGTAATATATTCTTGATCGGGAAAGGGTCTCCAAAGTATGTTGTGACTACTCAATGTATTGCAAAATAGAAGATCCTCCATTTATTTATCTTTTGTTGTCGGTCATTATTGACTATATATTAGTATTATTAGTAATTGAATTCCTATTTCAATTTTACACCGATATACAAAAGTTATTACAATCAGCTATCACAAATTGACAATAGTGAAGATATATCTACTAAAATTTGAAAATCTTAGTGGAAATATTATACATATTTTACAAAATTAATTAATCTACTCCAAAGAGAATTATAAAGTGTATCTAAATGATTAAGAGCATTACCAATCTATTTAGATGGATCAGGATCTCTACTAGTAAATACACATACTTATTTTTCGTTAACAGGATATTTTTATGGAGAACGATCATATTTCTGTTATTATCAATTACCTGACGATCTTTTATTTCTATTATTTTAAATGTTCTACATTATTGTGAATGACATAAAATAAGAATCTTCTACTTTTGTGAGCGGGAAGCTTTTCTCCTTTTTAATAGAAGGAAGGAGCAATCTGTGTGTCGTGTATCATCGTCCTCTCTTTCCTTTCCTTACTTCCTAAGTATATATGACTTTATTTTTTTAATAATTTTTTTTTTTGTGTGGGTAGTGGTTGGTTTGAGATAATTTCCAAAGAAAATAGCAACTGTCTCTATAATTGATTTAGCAAAAAAAAAAAAACTCTCTATAATTGTTACTACTATACACAAATTAATCATAAATTTAAATTGTGAATAACGAAAAATAAATACTACTACCACCACATAGTTGTACATAAAATACTTATATTAACTGAACCATTTTCTATTTAATTATGACATTTTGACTAAAGGATTCGATAATATACATTTAATGTTGATCAAGAGATTATCAAATGATCATCAAATAAATACTAATACCACATTTTAACACACAAATGCTGCAAGTCATAACATTCCAACAAGGTGAGTTACGTGATTATGGAAAATATTTTATTTGAGAGATTCCAATAGATTTGAGTTACGTAACAAAATTGTCACGCTACCACTTCGGCGATGTTATTGCATAAGCACAACGACTTAAGATTTCGTAACATTTTAATTACGAGACATTATACTATATACTCTATATATAAAGAGACCCTAATATAAATCCAATACATACAGAAAATAATTAAAAAGAAACCTTTGGCAGTGGCACAAATTTGGTAACGAGAGAATCCATTGGTCGATCAGTAAAAGAATATTGGCAGAGTGGGAATATAAGATATGATCGTTCATTCGTTTGTCTGTTTTAATATATGATCACGTGCGTAATAAACTGTTTGTTATAAAACACAACTTGTTTTAATTACCAAC